ACTTGGACTTTCATACCTTCGAATATTTCAATGTTCAAATTTATCATGAAAATACGATATAGAATATCTTCGCTGCGGATTTATTGGAAATGCAACTGAAGATAAATATGGAAACGGTTTCATCCAGTCGAATGAAAAAAAAGAGAAAACAATATTCGAGATTTGTATGAATCACGCTCGGTTCCGGAGTGAAATCGCTTTCCCATTGTATTATTCAAATGGCAGTTTCGAACGTCACTCGATGTTTATCAAACATTTCTCGTATTTGAATGCGGGATAATTCCGAGAAAATCCCGAGGATTACGAAATTCTAGAGTTGAACTGCACTGAATATTCATATGGAACGAGATAAATACATCTATTTTTGTTCAGCTTCATCAAGATCTCTTCAGAAAATCGCACTTTGATATTGGGGTCGATAGTGACCCCATTCGATCGTTCGGAAATTTACCCACAAATTAAAAAAAAGACGATTGCTTTAGGAGCTATAGAACTCGAGTTACAGCGAAAAACGTCATAGTGATCTGGCAATCAATAATTTAAAATCAGCTATAAATTTATTTAGGATTTTCTATTGAACATCTGGGGCAAAATAGATCTTCTTTTAATCCATGGATGAAGGTTCCATCTACCGAATAAAATCAACTCTGATTCATTCTGCCCCGGTGGTGCAAAAATGATCTAGCGATCGATGCATAATCTATGAAATTTCATTTAGGATTTTCTCCGCAACCACTGGAGCTGCAGAGTTCGTTTTTTTTTCAATTTGTGAGGAAATTTCTTGATCTATCGAATGACATCCGCCCCAGCCCGTTTTACCCCGGTCCCTTAAAAATTATCCAGCGATCGATAAATGATCCAGAAATATTGATTATGGATTTTCTTCTCACCTATTGGGACGAAATGAGTAATTTTTTTTTCATTCTCTCCGTGATTTTGCTAACTTTCCAATGGGGCCATTTCTCACCCCAAAATGCGATTGATCCCGCGAATTGAGAAATAGGGTTTCTGTTTTTATAGAAGCACCGACAGTTTCGATTGAGTTGGACAATATTTACCCGTCGCTGTACCAATTCCAATACCCGGAAAAATGTACAACCAAAAGTTTGCTACGTCTCCGGGTCCCAACGTGTACAAACTCAACAAGGTTTGCGGGAGTGTGAGGTAACACATACACGTGGAGTTTCGATATAGAGTTGAGCTAAAGCCGAGGCTATCGGGCGTCTCAGTGAGCGGACCCTGGAGGCCGGAGTTTATTAGCTCAACCCCTCGGCAGTGATGGGTTTGAGTCGCAAAAGAACAATTTGTTCAATTGATTGAAAAACAAACCAACAAACAAAAAATAAAAAAAATACCTCTTTTTTTTTATTTCGCTAGAGCTAAAAATTTTCGTCTAATGGAAGTATTTTTTCCTTTCTCCCGCAGGCAGGAAATTCATACGATTTTTTTGGTCAGAGTTGATGAAAAAAAATTTTAGGTTAAAATTTTTTCGAAAAAAAATGAATGAATGGAAATTTTTTTGTCGTCATTTTCTTTTGGAAATGAGATGTTTTCATGAGAGAAAAATTTTTCTCAGAAATTTTCACTCATTTTTTCGGGGTTAGAATTCGTTTTCCAATAAGAAACAAACGTTTTTCAAATCGTTTGAATCCGTCATTTATACTCGACCATTGTTCACACCTATTACTGAAAACGTCCACTCGCCCCCTCACGAGCCACCGAGGATGCGTGATATACACGAAATATATGTAGGGGCGCCTTATACAGACCAACACGCACGTGGATCGTGCTGTTACAAAAACCGCCATTATCTGTAATTCACCTCAGTAGTCTGTATGTAAATAATCCTTTTCTACTCCCTCATGATCCACAATTCGCGAAACACACCTCGGAATCCATTTCTAACCTCAAATTTCTTTTTTCGACTTCTTCATTTTCTCCTTTCACCGTAAACAATGGAAAAACCCACCCGATCTCGATGGCAATGGTCAAAACGAAAAAAAAATTATCCGTCTAGCCCCCATAGAACCCGAGTTACAGCGAAAAACGCAAATATGATCTAGCAATCGATAACTCATAATGATCTACAATTTCATTAAGGATTTTCTCCTAGACTACTGGAGCAAAATCGATCGTCTTTTCTCAGATCCTTATAAAATTCCCCGATCTATCGAATGGAATCAATGTCAAGCCATTGTGCCCCGATGCAACAAATATGATCTAGCAATCGATAAAAAATTGATTTAGGATTTTCTCCTAAACTATTGGAGCTACAGAAGTCGTTTTTTTTAATTCGTGGGTAAATTTTCGAATCTGTCGATTGGGGTCATTATCGACCCCACCCGCCATCGCCCACGAAAAATAAAATTCAGGTTTTTCTAAAAAAAATTAACGGATGAAATCTAATTAATCCACAATTGATAATAAACATGTACCAAGCATAACAGTTATCCCCAGTGTTCGTTGGCTCGCTAATTAACCCAAAGGAAAAAGAGATGCAGAGCGATTTTATTGAAGGCACCCGCGCGCGCTTGAAAGACGCTAACGTTTAATCAAAGTCCATTTAATTAACCAGGCGCGCAACTGCAACTGTGTGACTCTCTCGTGTGGGGGCCCTCTTTGCATTCGTATCAAAGTGCCTCTCACGTTGTAAAAGAGAGTTACTTAATGTTTGTACGACTAGCCAATCGGTAAAGAAACTTTTTACCCCCTCGACGTTGGATTTAGAAGTGAAACAGAGAGAGAGAGAGAGAAGAGAAAAAAAGTTGAGGGGAGATGCTGCGGTCCAGCCCCACTTGGCAGTGTCAGCTGACTTGATTTATTGCCGTCTCACCCTGCCACCCACTCTTTTTCCCCCTCCTCGCCCCCGCCTGGATATCGCGGGTTCGGATCTCTCCATTTTCATCAATTCGTACCCTTGCACGGAGAGATAGATCTTGAAAGAAAATCTAGCCGGGGGGAAAGGGGTTCGCTGATGGCTTCATTCGATAGATCAGGAGATTAAACATCGAACTGAAAAAAAATCATCCATTCTGGGCCTGTGGAACCGGAGTTACAGCGAAAAATGTAAAATTCATCTGGCAATGGATGATCTACAATGATCTATCGAGTTATTTAGGATTTTTGGGGGATCTACTCGGGCAAAGTGGACAGTTTCTCCTCAATGCGGTGGAGATCTTCCCTATCTATCAAACAAAATCATCTCCAACCCGTTTCACCCCAGTCCTGTAGAAGTGATCAAGCGATCGATTAACGATCTATAAAAATTGACTCAGAGTTTTCTCGGCATCTACTGGCCCAAAACGAGTCATGTTTTTTTTAATTTGTAGGTAAATTTCCCTAATTATTTCATAGGCCAAGGCCGATCCTGTTCGGCCCCTCTCGGATTCTCGTGATCTAGCGATTGATCGATGGATGATCTATAAAAATTATTTAGGTTTTTCTCGGCATTGTCTCGTCCAAAAAGAGTCGTTTTTGAAAGAAAAAACGGGGGTATATTTAGTGACCTAACGAATGGGGTCACTTGTACCCCCACTCCCAAAATTATTTCTCTCACAAATCAATTGTCCCCATAATGCACATGAAACGGCAGTCACTGATACCCATTAATAATCTCACAGCTCTCATCCATGTGTATTCCATCATCAAATTTTCAAAGAGAAACAATAATTCATCGGCGGATGCAATTTATCGGTTGCATAATACCCCCCCCCCCCC